TATGGCTATGCTTTGGAGATGTGTAATCATGTGTAACATAGAGGCTTTCTCCACGTGTGCGCGCAGGGGGTGCAAATCACTAACCGAAATGGCCTTCGAACCTTGAATGTCGGACCGGATAAGGCAAAATTCATCCCATCGAAGAGCCCACGTTTTGCCAATTTTTTTTTGCCTTCTCCAATGACTTTTGAGTTTCTAAATTGAAAAAACTCCAATGGACTCCCAATGGTTACAATGTTAGTGGGAAGTAACTCCAATGGACTCCTAATGGTCACAATATTAATGGGCAATATGCCTATAAAAAGGCTCATTTTCCAGTAATCTAACACACTCGAAAATCTCACCTACATTCCTGCATACACAGTTTCTTCTTGTCTGCATTCCTTGTTCAGTAAGGTCTTATTTTTGTAGTGATATAGGACCGCGGTACTCGGATTCTGCTTATTATCGTTGTATCCTGGGAGACAGCCGCTCGAACTGAACCTCCAACACCTACGGTGAGGGGGCGAAACTGTCTTAATGAAACTGTGCATGCACAAGCATCGGTTTGAAATCTGCTGCAATTTGTGTTTTCTTTCTGTAGATTTATTTCATTATAGTTCGTGTAGTTTCTTTGCAGATTCAGTTTATCCTTGCAGTTTCAGTTTCCATTTATTTTTGTAGATTATTTTCGCATTACTATTTAATTCATGCGGTTTGTAGTTCTATAGTGTGCAGCTTCCAGATTCATCGTTTACAGTTTTAGTCTGCAGTTAACTTATATTTCTGATTTTATGTTGCTAAACATTTTTTTCCAGCCGTTGGAAAATTCTGAAACGGAATTTTTTTTTGATAAATTGAAATCGTTTGCCTTGTGGTTATTAATTTCAATAGTCGGCTATTGCATTTGAATAAAACTTATACAATTGGTTTCATCCACTAGCGACTTGTTTTCCTACACCCACAACTCCCCTCCCTGGCACATCCTGACAATAAATGTATTATATGTCAATAAACTAGGTAATGAACTCCTTTTAAACTCATCAAACAACTTCCTTGCTTCCCAAACCTTCCTTTCCTTACAAAGCCAATGTATGAGTGTGCTCGATACCGCATTATCTGGAGTACAATTCTTTATCAGCAACTTCTTCCAACAAC